AAGTGGTGCTTCAGTTATTTTAGATTACACTCAAGGCATTTATTACTATTGGTACTACTTTGTTTTCTTTTGCTAGAGTCATTCTATTTCTATTTACATTAGAGTTGAACCTTCCAGTAAATTTTTTCAAGGCTTCTCTACTCATTTGCGGCTAGGAAAGTGACTTTGGGGTGAAGCAAGTAATGGCAAACTACTTGTCAAGAAAATGGCAGGGACTTGTCCAAGCTGTTGCCAAGTGTGAAAATTAACCTAAGCTACAGAGGGAGGAGGAGGAGGAGGAGGAGGAGGAGGAGGAGGAAGAGGAGGAGGAGGAGGAGGAGGAGAAGCAGAAGGAGAAGAAGAAGAAGAAGAAGAAGAAGAAGAAGAAGAAGAAGAAGAAGAAGAAGAAGAAGAAGAAGAAGAAGAAGAAGAAGAAGAAGATGATGATACTGTGAGATGGGCATTGTGGAGAGGTGGAAGCCTGTTGAAGTTGAGAGCTGTAGTGATGAGCCATGGGTCCTCTTGTCCTTATCCAGTTACCCAGCATGCTTGATTGAGTGAATGTGAGAATGGTGGTGGGGAATGGCAGAGCTCTTAGGGGAGGTTGGTCAGGGTAGTAAGGGATCACCTCCGGAGATCTAGGTAGGATAATGCATATGGTGGTGATGGACATGGGCAGGCTCAGCTGTTCCTGAAACTGGCCTCCTATACTTTCCTTGGATTTTTGTTGAACCCAAATTTTGAACCTTCCAACAGTGATGAAGAGACAGTACTGTATCAGGCTAGGCTGAAAGCTCTTTTCTTTTCTGGGACATTTAAGATATGCATCTCATACTACTTGCTGCTGTCAAGAGAGAATATCTGCTGAGTGTAACACCTCTTGGGGAAATACATGTGGGCCAGCTGGCAGATTTTTTCAGTAATAATTCTTCCCATATATGCTTCTGTAAATCCTAGTTCGCTAAGAACAGCATAAAGAGGCTTTTTTGCTACATTAAATTGTGGACACTAGAGATTTGGGGATGAGATTAAAATTAAAGTAATGAATTAAATAAGACTTGGCAATAGAAAATTACAGTTTGTACACATTTAACAGAAATGACACAGAGCATAAGATGAAATTCTACATCCTTTCAGCTATCAAAAATAGTAAATATCACAAATAATAGAAGTATCAATTGAAATATCACAATAGTAATGGGGGACTTTAACTACTCTTATTTAATCAACTGGGAGACAAACTCTGCACCTAGTAGAAGATCAAACAGATTCCTGACAAACAACTCTGTCTTTCAAAAAGTAGAGAAGGAAACAACAGAGTCAGCCATACTGGACTTCATTCTCACTAACAGAGATGAAATGATAAAAGGTGTTGAAGCTACAGGAACCTTGGGCAATATTGTAATATTGAAATTCAACATTATGCAGGCATACGCAATAAAACAAAGTCAAACCAGATTCTTGGACTAATTTCAATAAGAGACAGCTTGGGAAGGATTCCATGGAGGAAAATCCTCAAGGCAAAAAGGACCCAAGAAGCTTGGGAAACTTTGAAAACTGAGATTATAAAAGCCCAGTCTAGCACAATTCCAATGAAGAAGAAAAATAAGAAATTTCAAAAGAAACAAGCACGGCAATACTCCAGAAGTTAGGCTCAAGATACAGAAGGATTTCAACACACTTGAATACTTGGCCTTATGTAACAAAATGAAATGTAATGGTGAGAAAAATAAGTTTCTACATTTAGCAATAGCAATAGCGCTTAAACCTATATACCACTTCACAGTGCTTTACAGCTCTCTCTAAGCTGTTTACAGAGTCAGCATATTACCCCCAATGATCTGGGTCCTCATTTTACTGATCTTGGAAGGATGGAAGACTGAGTCAACCTTGAGCCTGGTGAGACTTGAACTGCAAAACTGTTGTTAGCCGGCAGTTAGCAGAAGCAGCCTGCAGAACTGCATTCTAAGCACTGTGCCACTAGGGCTCTTAGGCAAAAAACCACAAAAAAACAAAAACCGCAAATGCATAGGTATAGAATAGGTGGTACCTGGCTCAATGGTAGTAACTGCGAGAGGGATCTTGGAGTCCTAGTGGATAATCAGTTAAATATGAACCAGCAGTGTGCTGCAGCTGCCAAAAAAGCCAATACACAGTCCTAGACTGCATTAACAGAAAGATAGAATCAAGATCATGTGAAGTGTTAGTACCACTTTACAATGCCTCAGTAACACCAGACTTGGAATATTGCATCCAGTTTTGGTCACCACAATATAAAAAAGATGTTGAGACTCTAAAAAGAGGGACGAGAAGAGCAGCAAAGATGATTAGGAGACTGAAGGCAAAAGCATATGAAGAATGGTTGCAGGAATATGCTTTTCACTTCCAGAATATCCATACTTTCCTTGGAGACTTTCCAGGACATGACTGATCTAGACCAATTGGCACAGTGGATCCAGCAGTACTGTTTGAATTTCTGATACACATAAGCACTCCTTTGCAAATTGCATTGACAAAGATATAAATAACATCATTAAGTAAAATTAAATAAAAAGCTCTCTCTTTCTTTGCAACCTTCCACTAATTGCAATTTAAATCTAATAAAACATACTGCCCTATAAAAAGGCAAAATTTAATCTTAATTCTGAAATCTAAAAAATAGTGATTTATTATAGCATAAGAGTTCTGATATAAGATTGGGAGGCAATAAAAATTCAATATTCTTTGTTTTGAGGTCCTATAAGTATAAGATGACATAGGTCAAGGATGCATTGCTAGTATAGATAATAAGAAACACTACTGTTGAAGAAAATTGATTGCACTTTGTAAATATCTTTGTATATCTTTTCCATTGTCCTTGATATGAAAATTATGGATGCATTATTTGCATTATTTACAAAATAATGCTTTACGGATGCATTACTTCCATAACACTGGAGTTTTTAAGAAGAGATTAGACAACCATTTGTCTGAAATGGTATAGGCTTTCCTGCCTGAGCAGACGGTTGGACTGAAGACCTCCAAGGTCCCTTCCAACTCTGTTATTCTGTTATTGTTTTCTTTTTGGAGATGCAAGTTTGTATTTTGTTAAAGGGTCTGGATACATAGCCAAACTTTGTCTTCTTTTCTTTTGTAGATCGCTAAATCAGGCCAGTTTGCATATTATGATTATAGAACAAAGAATAAAGATATATACAACCAGGTAGGAATTTGATACATTTAGGTATAATTTTGGAATAGAAATGAATGTTCTCTCAATTCTACCTTCTGTGAATGATTTTGAGTTGGGGAGTCATTAATATTTGGGTTTAAAAATATTTGAAGAGCAGTATCTATTATTGGAAAGTCCCTTTCGATATATAGATATTGGTGCCACAGTGGTTAGAATGCAGTTTTTCAAGCTAATTCAGCTAACTGCCAACAGTTCAAGTCTCATTGGCTCAAGGTTGACTCAGCCTTCCATTGTTCCAAGATCAGTAAAATGAAGACTCAGATTATTGGGGGCAATATGCTGATTCTGTAAACCATTTAGACAGGGCTGTAAAGCACTGTGAACTTGTATATACAATAAGTCTATTGCTAGTGCTAGTGCTATACAACAAGATTTGTTTTTGTTTTTTAATTTTTCAGCCAGCTTGTTGGAGGGCTCATTTTTCTAAATACTGGAATGAAACTAGATTTTCGAAGCTGAAGTGTCTGTGTATACATTTTAAAAATGTCCTTGATTGTCTGACTTTCATGCTTAAGTGAGGAGAGCCTGGTATTTTCTGTTCCTGGTTCAACACCTTACCAATAGACCACACCGGATTTCAGTAATTATCAGAAATATATTTCTCTTACTGTTTCTTTTCATTTCAGCCCATTGGTTCTTCAACATCCTTGGCTTCAGGAGAGAAGATGACTGTTCCCTCGAATGTACAAAAACATGGGCTCAAAATATTCAAGAGCCGATTCTATTGGATACATGGGAGACAATTTGGGTTAGAAATGTAAAATTTACTCAAGCTCAAAATTTAAGAGAAAATTTTTATAAAATGTTTTATAGATGGCATTTGGATCCTCAAAAGCTGTCCTGTATGTATCCTAATTTACAGCCCAAATGTTGGAGATGTGGAAGCTTAGATGCAACTTATTTTCATATTTGGTGGACTTGTAGAAATATAAAAGCTTTTTGGATTAAGATTTGGTGGAACATTCAAAAGATTTTTAAGAGAAAGATAAAGTTTACGCCACAATTATTTTTGTTAGGTGCTATTGTAGATTTTGATGTTAAAGAAATTAATTTGATGTTGAATTTTATAACAGCTGCAAGATTATTGGTGGGGCAATATTGGAAGAAAGATTCTTTGCCTACTGTGGAAGAATGGATACTCAAGGTGTCTAATTTAGCAGAAATAGCAAAAATTTCCGCTTATTTGAAGGACTATTCACAAGAAAGACATATCTCGGTTTGGAGAAGATGGATAGATTATATTCAGAATAAATATGAGACTAAAAAGTATTATCTAGCTTATGAGTAAATTTTAGATTATTACTAATAGTTTAATATGGTAGCATTTATATTAGTTTTAGTTTTATGGTTTAATTATATTATTATTTTCGTATTTAATTTGTTAATATTTATTTTGAAAAGGAGTTAAAGTATGTTATGGATTTGATTGTATAGTTGGGTAATGTTAGTTAGATTATGATTGTTTATTTGTAACCCTGTAATCAGCTCTGGGAAGTGGGGGAGGGGGGAGGGGGGAGGGATTTGGGGTATATATTGTATAAAATCTTTAAAACTTTTAATAACAATAAAAAAGAATGTACAAAACATTAGATGGTTGTAGACCTCTATCTTTTCTTAATCATCAAATCATTCATTAAAGTTAGAGCTAAAGTATAAGTTGCTAGGAGAAGGTGCCATGAATTGGATAGTTAACATTTATTTTCAGTTACATTGGGTTTTTTATTTTTGAATTTAAGTAATTATGGAGGCATTAAGGAGGTATTAAAAACATGCAATAACCTGGGGGGCAGAGCCAGCTGTCAGAGCGGGCGGCGGTGTGGATGGTTTCACCGGCATCATCGAACGCTTGTCCTAGGTCCGCAGGGCTCATCTGAGCAGAAAGAAGGGGGCATCGGAAGGTGTGGGCGATCTGCTGCTCTGTCGTTGGTGGCGACTGGCAAGGGGTGGCGGACAAACCCAGTACCAAGCGGATCGGAAAGAAGACGGCCTTAATGGCCGCCAAAGTTGCCAGCTGGACAAAGTAAGCGAGGGACTAGCTGAACGACGGTAAATCAGACTTGATCAAATTGCTTTCCCCAGAACTTTGCAAATTGCTTATGGTAGATGCGTTAAAGAAGAATTGCGGAGAGGGAAAGCCTGGAAAGAGAGAAGTCGAAGGAGTGGAAGAGATAACAGCGAGTCAAAGTGGCAGGAAGAATGCCCGGAAGGGCTTGACGTGGAGGAGCCAGGCTGCTTTGGATCGAAAGACTTGACGCTTTAAACCACATAAAAGTATACGAATTAACTTTTATTTTATTTAACTTTTATTTAACTTTGTTTGTCTTCGGGCTTCGATTTGTTTGCTGAGTGGATTGGTCAGTTTAAAGGGGACGATCTTCTTCTTTGGAGCTCTTGGTTTTCTTTTTTTCCTCTCTTTTCTCCGGAAAGAAATAGAAACTCCATGATAGAATGTAACTGGAATGTTATAGAGACTTTTAATTCTTGAAAACGTTGCTGATAAGATTGACGGTAAATATTTGGTTGTATATCAACGGTATTGTTAATGGTTAAACATCTGGAAAGGGAATAATGTAAAGGGGGTGAAAGTGGAAGAACGGAAAGAGGGAAGTGGAAAGTGGACATTTTGGAAGAAGAACAAGTGGTGGGAGAGTCTATTTAAAATGGCAAGTAATCCAAACTCAGTCAAGATTGGTGGAGGGAAGAAAAATGTAGTTCAAGGTTCCAGTCCAATAAGAGGGAATATATGTATTATTCCAACAGGCACAGATCATGGACTAGAATAGATATGCTATGGTGTTCTAAAGAATTAGCCTCAGAAATACAGGAAATAGACATAGAACCCAGTCTCTGGGCTGATCATAACCCGATAAGTTTAAGCTTGAAAGGTCAAAAATGTAGGCCAAATGGACCTTTCAAAGAGGGATTCTTAAGGAAAAAGAATTTAGAGAAAGTATGGAGAAAGAAATGCATCTTTTCTTTCAAGTGAATGATAATGAGGACACATCTTTGCATAATCTTTGGGATACGGCTAAAGCATATTTGAGGGGGGTTATTATTTCATATATGGCTAAGAGAAATAAAGAGAAACAGCAATATAAGATGAGGCTTGAAGCAAACTATAAACAGGCTGAAGTATTACTCCAGAGAGATCCTGGAAATAAAGGATTGAAAATAAAAATGGATTTAATTAAACACAAACTTAACTTAGAGGAATCGGAAAAATACGCACAAATATTACAGGCAGCTAACCAAAAAAAATTTGAGCATGCAAATAAATTGGGACGATGGCTAGCGTATAAATTAAGACAACAGAAAGCGAAATCATGGATTACTAATCTGGTAGATGAAAATGGAGAAATCCAGGGGGAGGAGACTGTAAAAAGGGGCATTGCTCAAAGATTTTATGAAAATTTATATAAGAGTAATGAGGGAAGAAGCGTGGAACAGATAACAGAATATTTGGTAAAGGCAGAGCTGCCAAAAATATCGGAGGAAATAAAATCTATGTTAAATGAGGAAATAAGCATGTCTGAATTAATTAGGGCTATAAATAGACAAAAAATTAATAAGGTGATAGGCCCAGATGGAATACCTGCTGAATTATATGAAAACTTGCAGAGTGTTTTTAATCAGTATCTATTAGAGGTCTTTAAGGCAGTATTTACTGAAGCTAAAATACCTAAGTCCTGGTTAGAGGCAAATATAACACTGATTCCAAAAGCAGATACGGAAAAAATATGGATACAAAATTATAGACCCATATCTTTATTGAATTCGGATTACAAAATTTTTGCTTCAATAATGGCAGAGAGATTTAAAAAATATTTAATAGATTTTATACACTCGGATCAAAACGGCTTCTTACCAAATAGACAGATTAAACAGAATATGAGAACAATCTTAGATATTCTAGAATTTTATGAATCACACAATAATCAGCAAATGGCGCTTCTGTTCTTGGATGCTCAAAAGGCTTTCGATAATGTTAATTGGCAATTTATGATACAACAATTAAAATTAATGGAAGCCGGAGGAAATTTTTTAAAAGTTATAACTGCAATATATTCCAAACAATATGCACAGATCATAATAAACGGGGTGGCAACAGATAGATTTAACATACAGAAAGGCACTAGACAGGGATGCCCTCTCTCGCCATTGCTGTTTACTTATACTCTAGAAATTCTTGTTAGAGCAGTAAGGCAAGAAGAACAGATTAGAGGATTTAAGATTAAGAAAGAAGAATATAAACTTCAGGCTTATGCAGATGATCTAGCATTTATTCCGGAAGACCCAGAACACTCTGGGCAGAAATTATTTGAAATTTTAGAAGATTATGGAGATTATGCAGGTTTAAAAATAAACAAAAATAAAACAAAGATTATCACTAAAAATATGACTGATATTCAAAAAAGATTCCTCGAGATTAAATTAGATATACAAGTAGTTTCTAAATTTAAATACTTAGGGATAATCATTTCTGCACGTTGTTCATCACTTAAAGAAGATAATTATGTTAAATTAATGCAAAAAATTAAAGTTGATTTAGAACATTGGAAAAATTTACACCTCTCGTTACTCGGGAGAATTGCTGCTGTAAAAATAAATATCCTACCCAAATTGATTTTTTTGTTTCAGAATATTCCAATTTTCTTGGATAAAAATTTCTTTAAGGAGTTAAATAAAATAACTTTAGAATTTGTATGGGCTGGTAAAAAGGCTAGAAGAAAATTAAAGGCTTTACAGGATGCCAAGGAAAGGGGTGGTTTAGGCTTTCCTGATTGGGAATTATATTACCTGGCCGCTGCCCTATCTTGGATTAGTGATTGGATAACCTTAAAGAATCAAAGATGTATTCAGTTAGAGGGATGATCTTCAGCAGGGATGGCATGCTCATATGTGGAAGGGGCAAAATAGAAATTACCAATATTTTTTAAAACACAAGGTCCGGCAAGGATTAATTAAAAGTTGGAATACTGTCAAATCTCAATACTACACAAAGATTCCGACTTGGTTATCGCCACTGGAGGCAGTTATATACCCAAATTTGTTTAGGAAAGATAAGGTCATTAGGTACAAAGACATTTTGACAGAAGAGAGTCTTTTAAAATCTAAGCAAGAGTTAAGACAATATGGAATAGAGATAGAATGGTGGTCCTATCTCCAGATCCAAGCAAGATATCTGAAAGATAAACATGAATGGGGTATTTATAGACAAGATACGGGTCTAGATAAAATTTTGCTTGGTCCGGAAAAAAAAACAAATAAGGAATATTTATAAACACCTATTGGAATACAGGTTATTTGAAGAACAGGTTAAAGAAACAATGGTGACATGGGTGATAGATTTAGGACACAACATCAATTTGGATCAATGGCAGCAGATGTAGATGCGAAATAATAAAATTACATTGGTGTCATCATACAAAGAAAATTCGTATAAGATGATTTACAGATGGCATCTCCCTCCAGCAAGATTAGCCAAAATGTACAAAGGATACTCATCGTTATGTTGGAAATGTAAAAAAGAAAACGGCACATATTTTCATGTTTGGTGGCTATGTAAGGAAGCACAGAGATATTGGCGTATGGTTTGGGAATGGGTAACAGAAATGAGTATGCAAAACATCCAGTATAAGCCTGAGACATTGTTGTTAGGAATTCTTGAAAATAATGTTAGTAAAGAAGATATATATTTATTCACTCATGTGGTTACAGCGGCAAGAATTGTATTCACTCAAAATTGGAAAGCTACGGCTATACCTAGTGAGGAAATCTTAATTTATAAAATTATGCACTGCGTAGAATTAGATAGGTTAACTAAGAGACTCAAAAATCAGGATGAAACAGATTTTTACCAAATTTGGAATAAATTTTATAGATGGTGGCGGAAAAATATGGAAGTCATTGTAATGAGATAAATTAAGATTGAGATTAGAGTGATGTTATTGTAAAGGTTTTTTTTTCTTATATTAGTAGTTAATTGTGAATATGAACTGTGATGTACGTCAAATCTGATTTACCATGTTCAATGTTTTTAATTTTTGTTATTCAATAAAAATATTTTTATATAAAAAACATGCAATAACCTTATTGCATCAAATTGCATCATGCCTTCTTAATTCAAAGACTCCCAGTTTCTGGGATCACATACAGGAAAAAGTGCAACATTTAATATTGTAAGCCACCCAGAGTTGTGTCAAAATACATTTTACAAATAAATAAATAAAAACATTTGTAAAGTGGCTCCTAATATATATATATATATATTTAATTTCAACCCATTGGTTCTTGTTCTATCCTTGGATTCAATACAGAATAGGACTTTCCCCTCAAATATGCAAAGCCTTTAGATCAGATGTGTCTAATCTGAGCCGCATGTGGTCCTTGACTGTAATGCAGCCCCACCAAATTGCAAACGTTTAACATTATTATGCGATTTATATTCATTAACTAAATTACATATTTTATATGTGGCCCAAGACAATTCCTCCTCACTCAATGCAGCCCAGGTAAGCCAAAAGATTGCACACCCGTGCTTTAAATAGTAGTAGACCTCTATTGTTTCTTAATTTTATTTTTTTATAAACTAAATGTACCAAATCTTTGCCATAGATTTATGGACCTGTAGTCAATCTGAAGGACTTTTTGAGTCTGTTTCATTTTCTCCATATGCCCTTTAAAGTATGATGCCTAAAACTGAATGTCATATTCAAAATGTGATTGAACCAGTATAGAGAACATTGCTATCTCCCTCGATCATAATGCCATGAATCAGTGGTGGGATTCAGCCGGTTCGCACCACTTCTGCAGAACCGGTAGCTAATTTTTTGCTGCCCAGGCCCAGAATGGAAGTGGCATCCACACAGAGAACCGGTTATTCACGTATTTGAATCCCACCACTGCCATGAATTATAAATATAGGTAAAGATTTCATAAGTATCACATTGTTCTATTACTAACTTAAAATAGGTTAATAATCTGAATCTGTAGAAAAATTTCAAACATGATTGCATTAATGTACAAATCATTTATTGAAGTCAAATTAGAGGTATAATTGGTTAACAAAAATTGCCATGAACTAAATTGTCAACATTTATTTTCAGCTACATTTCATTCTGCATTTCTAAATTAAAATAAGTATGGAGGTGGTAAGGATGAGATAACCTTATTGCAATAACCTTATTGCATCAAATTGCATCATGAAGTCTTAATTCAAAGACTTCCAATTACTGCAATCATTTAACTGCAAATGAATACTGGTAAGTGTGCAACATTTTCAAAGAAAGGGCAAGCACACCTATGCCCGTTCTGAAGCACCTTCCCAGTTTAGAAATTATATCCCTTAATAACATTGCTATTGGTTTTCCCAGCAATATATATAGATGGAAATAATCAAGCAGTTTCACTTAAGAAATATGTCATCAAGTCTGTGGCAATCACATAGATAGATTTTCTCCATGATGATCTGTCTCTAACCTGGTCTTTCAATGGTGCACTAAGTGCCTTTGTAACTGACTCAGTTTACCTTACTGCTGGCCATCCTCTTGTTATCTTCCCTTTCACCTACCCCAGCATGCAAATCTTTTCCAGGGAGCTGGGTCTTCACGTAATGTGTCTGAAGTAAGATAACTTGTAATTGGTCATTTGTTCCTTGAATGAGAACTCTGAGTTGATTTGTTCGATAATCTATTTGTTTATTTTCTTGATTGCCTATAGCAGTGATGGTGAACCTTTTAGAGATTGAGTGCCTAACCTGCAACCGAAAACCCACTTATGCATCGTCGAGTGCCGGGTGGGTATGGCCCATTGAGTGGACGTGGCTGTGGTGGTAATGGCAGACTGGGACTAAAAAGTTCAATTAATTCCAACTTTGCAAGATCTTTTTTCCCTGCGAAAAATTGAAATTGACTGATTGAACCTTTTTTTTTGCACACGGCGGTGGAGGCCTAAAGCAAAAAGGTTTTATAAAACCCAGCTGAATGCCTAGGACTGGGACGACAGCACGTGTGCCCACAGAGAGGGCTCTGAGTGCCACCTCTGGCACCCATGCCATAGGTTCGCCACCACTGGCCTATAGTATTTTCAGGAGTCTTCTCCAATACCACCATTCTAAAATGATGGGAGGATGAAGCATGATTCTGTTACTATGGTTGTTACAATAAACATAGTTCTGTCTTATATGATGTTGGTTTCTCAGTCTTGACTACGGGTAGACCTCAACTTCTGACCATAATGGATCCTGCCAAGTATGGTCAGAGGTTGTGACAGTTGCAAAGTAGATCATCATGTGATTAAGACCACAGTTTTTTATGTTGGTTGTTAAGTGATGACAGTGGTTATCAAGCAAATATTGTAATTGTTAAGCAGCAGTCATTAGGTTAATTCATTGTTTGCTATGGTGCTTTTGCTGAAAACCAGAACTAAATGCTGGAGGGTTTTTTGCAAAAAAATAAATAAATAAATTATGGTCACATAATGACAGGACTCTGGAAATGGCTGTAAATATGAGCTGGTTGCTGAGTGCTTGAAATGTGGTCTTGTGACTATGAGGGAAGGCAATAGCAATAACACTTAAACCTATATACCACTTCACAGTGCTTTGCAGCCCTCTCTAAGCAGTTTACAGAGTCAGCATTTTGCCCCCAACAATCTGAGTCCTCATTTTACTGACCTCAGAAGGATGGAAGGCTGAGTCAACCTTGAGCTGGTGAGAATCGAACTGCTGGCAGTTGGCAGAATTAGTCTGCAATACTGCATTCTAACCAATGAGCCACCAAGATCAGGCAACTCTCAGAACTTTGGAATCATATCATAAATACATTTTGGGGGATCCGTTGTACCTTCGGTTGCTAAGCAACCAGTCATAAGTCCAGGACTCCCTCTACCATACATTCCAGTTTCCCTGGGATCAGCCCAATTTATATTTACTGTACTGATTTATCATTTGCCCTGGGTTTATATTCTCAATTACCCCATTCCTTTCCCCCCTCAGTGCTGGCCTGTGTGGTGCTGCTCTATTCTCTTACACAATGCTGTTTTTGCATGGTATTGCTATTGTCTTTTCCATAGGACCAGCTTGTGTGCTGCCACTGCCTTTCCCCCCAAGAGGGCTGGTTTGTGTGGAGAAAGAATATGGCAGCATGGAAACCACCACTGCAGGAAAGAAAGTGGAGAAAAGATCTGGAGGCCTTCCAATGGAGGTAATAACAGAGAAATAAACAAACATTGTCAGAGCGTGCACAGTCTTATTGCACTGAGATAACCCAGGAGTAAACACAGTAAACAGTAGTTTGTATTAAATGGTGGTTTATCTTACACTACCTACAATATCATACACCAGGAACAATATAAATACACGTGCTAATACAGCAGAATCCAACAAACCACAATTACAGCAGGAAACGGAAGAGAGAGAACACATCAGCAGAGCCTTCCCTTTATACAAAAGTTCTTAATGAGACACAGAACCTGCTGAGTCATTCCCATCATTACGTTAAATCTTACATCTTACATTACATAAGCTGGTTAGCTGTTAAATCAATACTTTGACAAACATGTATTTGGAAATCAATATATCTAAATAGGAAATAGGAAATTTTAGACTGGTAATTGATCTAGATTAGAAAAAGCTGACTTTTGGAAGAGAACCAGAATTTTCCAGGTTATCCAGCACCATATGCTTGAAATTTATCTTCCTATGTTTTCAGTATTAAACAGATTTTATAAGACAACAATTCTTATTCTGAACAGCACTTATCTTTGTTATTAAGGGCTTTATTGATCCCTATAGTTACTCAGAGAATCCATGCCATATGGATCCTTCAATCCCTCACTCATATTACCATCCTGATTCATGATCCAGTCTAGGGTTCAAAGACATCCACTCTAGATTTCAAAGACAACTAAATTAAGTTCTGACTTTGTTCTTCCCTCCTAACTGTTGGAAGGAAGGGAAAAAGAAAGGAAAAAGCGGTTGCATAGTTGAACATTCACTAGGCAAGGCTAGAGTGACCTCCAAAATGTCCCAAGAAAGGAGGAAATGATGAAAGAAGGTCAGTAAGAAGAAATGCATTTTTAAGAAAAACTAACCGCATTCCTACTTCAGGGAGAGGCACTTACCCTGGAAACAGCCAAGGTCCCAAAGGAAAGTCTTGCAACTCTTTATCCTTGCCTTTAATGTCACAACTACAAGGAAATCCTGCAGGATGAATTTCCAAAGGAGGCACACACACTTCTTTTTTAGCTAGGCTTTAAGAATCCATATTGAGTCTGTCTGTTCCTCCAGGCTCAAATAATAGAGAAATATGGCCTTACTATAATTTGTCACTTATGCTACATCCCAGACAACTTTGATGATAAGCATCAAAAAACAAATGAAATATTAGAGGTAGTCTGAAATTAAACACATCTATTAAAAGCACTAGTGTTATGTTGTAATAACTCTCTATCTGTCTTGCAAAGTAAAAGATAGAATATCCAGCAATGCTTGCATAGGCCCATAATGGATTTGTTCAGTACATTGCATTCTTTATACAGATCAGTCTTAATCTTATAATCATCAGAAACTTTTTCATATTATTTCACTGATATTTTTGGGTGAGAATCTCAATTTTTGAGATTATAATTTTGGAAACCCAAGTTTTCACACCCTCTGGAATATCGTCTCACACCCCTGGTTGGGAATCCCTGCTCTAAACAAATAAATATTATAGTAATTGGAAGAGCCTGGAATGTTACTGTGGTGCAACAGCAAATCCCAAGATGTTAGTTTCAATATCCTTCAAGACACAATACCTACAAATAACTCCACCCTTTATTATCTGGAACACCTCATATACAGCAGAGCCTTGGAGTGAGTGGTAAGAATTTCTTTCAATCTTTTTTTTAAGTCATATTAATGATGTGTGTTTTAAGCTAGTTTTATTTTTTTTTCATACAGGCATGAAGGGTTTCCCTTGTAGGTCAAAGTCCCTTATATGCTGAGCACATAATAATATCATTTAATATCATTCAGATGTTCTTCAATCCTAAGCAGTAAAGAGGAATATGTGTTTGCAAGATGTTCTTCCCCTCCAGAATATTTGTTTCATTTATAAGGGCTCAGAAAATAGTACACGTTGTTTACACAAAAATTCTCCTCCCTCCAAACTCTTGAGTATTACTGTAATCAGAATTGCCTGTTCATCAAGTTTCATGATTCACGGTTCCTTTACAATAGACACCCTTCTGTTTAGCTTTTGCCTTTTTATAACCTTTTATTCAATCTTGTTGTCATCTAATTACAAATGTCCTTTTCTTTCGATATATGCTTCAAAATAACGATTGCATTGTTTTCAAGTATTATTTTTTTAAAGAAATTGCTTCTGATATATTTATGAGATTGTGAAGATAATTGCATATTTTTACTGAATACAATAATGCCTCTTGTTATCATAACATTATCTTATCAAAGTGAAAATGATTTCAAGATTATGTGGATTAAACGATTAAATGAACAAATGAACTAAATATTCTTGTGTAATGTTTGCCTAAGCAGAAAAGTTTAAATTTGTGTGAAACAACAAATGTGGCAACTGATTCAATCCCTCAAGGCTGCATAGTAATATAAGGTACTCATTCTTATTATAACAATGTTGTCAACATCAAAAACATATTGGCTTCAATTTGTAATTTAGTTGCTTAAAAATGTCTGGCAAAAACACAATAATGCTATAGGTTACATTGCTATTTTACAGATACTGAAGATGTTTTTGTTTCTCATGATGTCTCTTTTGGTTCTGGAGTTCAATGATTCCAAACAATTGTCAAGAACAAAGAAAGAAGTGAACCCTGAAACATTCATGAATATTGTAAGTTTAACCTAGTTAATATACTTTAGTACAAAATTAAATACATTAAGGGTTGGAACCCCATTGTCAATTCTAATCCGGTTTCTGAATCAAGACTTCATATATACAATGGTAAAGGTTATACTAGTAAGTTTACATTTGAATCAGTTATTTTAGAGTTTGCAATAATCAAGGGGTACTCATAGGCCAATGGACACCTACCTCAATATCTAAATAAGAAGGGAGTATACAGTTTTGTCTCATTCCTTTGCCAACCTGGAACCCATTTGTTTCACCATATTCTGTCTAGAGAAGAGACTTCCTGATCTACAGTATATATGTGGTAAGTTTCTCATGAGGTCAATGAAATGCTCAGGGAATCCCATTTTTTCTAAGGACATTCTATAACAATGTGATAGACATAATCAAGGACTTTCTATAATCAAGAAAGCAGATATTGACTTCTTGCTGGTGGTCTTTGGTTTTCTCAATTATCCAGGTGTATCAATATTTTACGTTCCTTGGATTATTTTAAAAGCCAGATTGAATATCTTGCATCTCTTTTTCTATTCTTCTTTACTTCCTCTTTTACCATGTTGGTTGGCAAGGGCTCTTTAATCTGCACTAGATGATCCTGAGCCAGTGGTTTTCAACCTTTTTAATGCCGTGACCCCCAACCGCTCATAAGTTGAGGACTACCCAACTGGTCGTAAGTTGAGGACTACCCAACCGGTTGCAAGTCGAAGACTTTCCCTGCCCGGGAGCGCCGCACATGTGTGGTGCCGCCTCCTGTGCCAGCCGAGGCATAGCTGGCAAGCAGCAGAGACGGCACAGGCCGACCACTGGCTGGGCCACCAGCTGGCCCAGCCCAAGGGAGGTAAGGCACCCGCCGGGCCCCACATGCACCAGCAACAGACAGTAAGTGCCGCCTATGCAAAGAAGCTGAAGAAACAGTGGACCACCTGGTAAGCTGTTGCAAGAAGATTGCACAGACTGACTACAAGCAGCGGCATGACACAGTAACAACAATGGTGCATTGGAAGATCTGCAAAAAATATCATTTGCCTGTAAGCAAAAACTGGTGGGATCATAAAATAGAGAAAGTCATAGAAAATGATAAAATTAAATTGCTCTGGGACTTCAGAATTCAAACAGACAAGCACCTGCAACATAACACCCCAGACTTAACAACTGTCGATAAGAAAGACAAAAAAGTCTGGATAGTGGACGTGGCAGTGCCTGGAGACAGCAGAATAGATGAGAAAGAACTGGAGAAGATAACAAAATATAAAGACCTACAAATAGAAATAGAAAGACTGTGGCAAAAGCAAGCAAGGGTAGTACCAATATTCATAGGCTCCTTGGGTGCAATCCCAAAACAACTGGAGCACCACTTGAACACAATTGGCATTGACAAATTCGCTATTAGTCAATTGCAAAAGGCGGCCTTACTAGGAACTGCTTCCATCCTGCGACGATACCTGTAATACCATCAAACATGCACATCTGCCTATCCCAGGTCCTGAGTAAGGACTCGATAGGTAGACAAAATGCCAAATCCAGTCTGAACATCTGGCTGACTGTGCGATGATCCATAATAATAATAATAATAATGTCTTAAAACTCTTTGTTAACAAACTGTTATTGTAATATACTTTTAGAAAGTCTGCCATAGCATCTTATCTATCCTAAATCATCCCAAAAGTTCAAAGTAATTTGTCCTGGATCAAATATCCATGTTTATTTCTTAATGCCACCTTTTTGTTGTCTAATTAAATATAATGAATTCAGTCTCCACAATGGGTCTATCTTCCCAACAAAGTCCAAACAGAAATGGTTTCCAGTTAGGTGTAATAAATCCATTCTCCAATCTTCCTCAGTCTTTATAGGAAAAAAAGGGAAAAAAATATAAAGGAAAAGGAAAAGAAAAACAAGGGTTGAAATAAATCAGCATTCAACCACTGGTCAAGTTTTAAGAGCAAAAAACAAGTAAAAAAATAAATTCAAAAAGTTAAAGTTAAACACCCAAGCATTTTTCTTTGATCTATTTTTAATTTCTTACTATTTGCCTAGTGGTATCATTTAGCATGCCTATTTTGGGTTGGAATATTCTTTTGAATTCAGATATTTTTGATCTCTCATCGATCTTACGGTGGTGCAACCATTGATTGCACTACTGTGGATGCTATCTTGACTTCTGTGACAATACTCAGTAGAAACCTCCTCCAGCCCCAGTAGGCGGGGGCATGCCCAATTCCTCAATACATCATCAAGTGGCACGTTAGAACATATGATTCCATTTATAGAGGACTCTTCTAAACACTGGATTCAGACTGAAACTAGTTAGAGTCTAATAAGTTTATAAATCAGTGTTTTGTTTTTTTTTTACCTGAACCATTTTTCTGGAATAAAACAGATTGAAAATGTTTTCACTAAAACATTTATTCTTAATATTCAATATTCTCTAAATTTGGAAGAATAAATACACAGTTTTGCTATACGATATTTCTCTTTTTATTCCTTTGATAATCTATTTTGATTAGGATCTTTATTCTGGTTTGGCTAAAAGGAAATATTTGACAGAATATAATCTTTATAGACTAAAAGTTTTACTGTAATGGTGCACCTCTCAATAAAGATAAGATAGAGCAATGAATAGGTGATAAGATATTGAGTTTTTTGGTGTCAACTCAAATTTCCTTGCAGCCACAGAAATATTAGAACTTCAGTAATATGGCCTTATACTAATTCTGAGAATTTAATACTTCATTATTTAGAACAACCAAAAGGAACAACCTCAAAAATGTATACATTATTATTGCAATCAGAAATAAAGATCCACCATATGGATTAAAGGAAGCTGAGGATACTGATCTTGGTGATCTTATATAGGAGATAAACTGGCAGCAGCTATGGAAACCAGGTGGAGTCACCTCAGCTTCAATGCAAGAACTGTAGTGGAAAATTATAATCATTGCCATTGGACTCCTGTCAGATTGGCACATATATATATCAAAATTATTCTTCCAAATACTGGAGAGATTATCAAAAAAGATCACTTTTTCATTTGTGGAACTGGCTTATTATAATATGTAGTGACATTGCTATTATTAATATTCCCATCAACTGAAGGTCAGGTTAAAGGTTCCTATCAACTTCTCAGGCAAATCTAGCTAGCGGTAAATCTTATGATTAAAGATATTAACCTTTGTTGGCTAAACCTTATTAGCTAAGATTGTATTTTGTAAGGTTGGATCTGATAAAAAGATAAACAAGATTAAAAGTTGAACAAGACTGATTACCACTTTTAATCCTCCCCCCCTCTCTTTCCCTCCCTACCTCCCTCTCTTGGGGTAACTATAGGATTTCTCCCTTTATTAAGAATGTAGTGTTGCCTTAATAAACATTTCTGCAAAGGCAAATATCCAACATACTACAAATGTAAGACAAGGTTTTGAATGGAATATTTTTTTTATATCTTTTTCCAGAGTGAGGTCTTACAATATCATGGTTATCCTAATGAGGAACATGAAATCCTGACAAATGATGATTACTTCCTTACTATCAACAGAATTCTTGGAAAGAAAGCCTCAGGTTTTTTTTTTTTTTTTGCTTTTAATGTTCACCAAAACAAAGTTTATTAGTACTGATTTGCTCTTATAAAATATCCCCGTGATGGCGAACCTATGGCATACGTGCCACAGGTGGCACGCAGAGCCATCCCTGTGGGCACGCGCGCCATCAGCCCGGAGGGAGGCGGGGCCAGGCTGCTCCCCTCCTCCTCTGCACATGTGCTTGCATTCTTGCTCTCTTTCTCTTTGCACTGAGAGTCAGGGAGCAGCTGCAAGAGCTGGGTGGATCCAGGCTAGATGGTGGAGGCAGCTGCCAGCACAAGTTCAGGTAAGCCTCCGGAGTGATTTTTGCGGCATCCTTGTGGCCCGATCCGGGCTCTGGAGGCCTGGAAAAGAACTCTGCCACCTGGATTGGCCATGGGGAGGCGCAAAATCCCCCACCCACCATGTGGATCGTACTGCCACCACCGCCTTCCCCCTACCTATCATGCAGATCGTGCTGCCACCATCCCCCCACCCACCATGTGGATCGCATTGCCGCTTGGAAAAGGCCCCACCCGCAGCTAGGGCTGCAGAGCAATTTTATAGCCCCTCCCCATGGCTGATTCAGGTGGCAGAGGCCTTTTCCAGGCCTCCGGAGCTTGCATCCATGGCCGCGGGGTGATTTTGCGGCATGACAGTGGTCCGATCCGGATTCCAGAGGCCTAGAAAATGCTTCTGCCATCTGGATCGGCCACGGGGGGTGGGTGGGTGCAAAATCACTCTGCAGCCCTAGATCTGGGTGCAGAAATATTTTCCAGGACTCTGGAGCTCGGATTGGGCCGCTGGTGCAGTATACAATCGTCCCACAGCCATGGATGCGAGCTCCAGAGGTTTGGAAAACACTTCTGCCGCTTGGATTGGCCATGGGGGGGCAAAATTGCTCTGCAGCCCTGGATCCAGGTGGCAGAAGCATTTTCCAGGCCTCTGGAGCCCGGATCAGACCGCTGGCATGCTGTAAAATCACACCGTGCCCATGAATGTGAGATGCAGAGGCTTGGAAAACACTTCTGCTACCTGGATCAACCATGGGGGGGACGCAAAATTGCTCTGCAGCCCTAGATCCAGGCGGCAGAAGTATTTTCCAGGCCTCCAGAGCTTGCATCTAGGGCTGCAGAGCGATTTCGCGCCCCTCCATGGCCGATACGGATGGCAGAAGCATTTTCCAGGTCTCTGGAGACTAGATCGGGCCACTGGCACTCCACAACACCACCCCACAGTCATGGATGCAAGCTCCAGAGCTTGGAAAAAGCCCTTTCCTAGCAGCGGCTGCAGCGTGATCCGTGCAGCGGGTGGGGGGGAAAGGCAGTGGTGTCAGGGTGATCCACGCAATGGGTGGGGGGGGGAAACCTGCCCCACTTGTTTCACAGCCGCTTTTGGCCAAGCTGCATTGCAGCAGCATTGGGTGCAATACGTGAGACGGCAAACAACTGCATCACGCTGAAACCGGCCATTTGCCACCTACTGCCCAATGCCACTGCCGTGAGGCCATGGAACAAGCTGGGTGGCAGTAAGAAACTGGTATACTGGTGCCTTACCTCTGCCCCGCTTGTCCTGTGGCCTCATGGCAGCTGCATTGGATATGATGTGCAAGGCGGCAAACAGCCACATTGTGCCAAAAACGAGGGGCCAGCAGGCTGTGGCTGCTGATGGACACAGTTGGTCCCCATGTGCTTGCTGTGCGTGGGGGGGGCAATGGTGTCAGGCAGCAGCTGCCCCAGCCCCTGCCTCGCCTTGCCCTGCAGCAATGGCACTCCTGCCCTGCCCCCTGCCTCGCCTCGCCTTGCAGGACGAGCCTCCTGCCCACATCGCACCCGCCAGAGACCCCCTGGATGTCCCCCAACCCTGCCTGGCCCCCACAGGTGTCCCTCCCCATGAGCAACATCGAGGTGGCCACGCCCACCCAGTCTGCCATGCCCACCCAATGGGCCACGCCCACTCAATGGGCCACGCTCACCCAATGGACCACGCCCACCCAGCACCCAATGATACATAAGTGAGTTTGGGGTTGCAGTTTGGGCACTCAGTCTCTAAAAGGTTCGCCATCACTGAAATATCCTATTTATATTCTTATCTTCTGTAGATATTTTCTGCAGTGAGAGAACTCTTTCATATAAAGGGGCGATCATTTGAAGTAATTTATTTGTTCATACATATGGAAAGCAGAAGTCACCCTGAAAACAAATGAACACAGAAAAAAAAAAACCATAATGGCCTCAAGCTTGTTTCATTTTCTGTGATATTATTATATCATGTAATAGGAATGTTTTGGGATTTTCCCAGGTCTAGATCTCAGTCAAGGAATCTCAAGATGGTCTTGATGACTAAACTACATGCTAATCATTTCATTTAAATGAACATGGGGAAACAGGAAAGAACATAACCTCATTTTTATAGTTATATAGTGTTATAATGCCACCCAGATTCACTTTCATGTGAGATGGGCAGTTATAAATGAATGAATGAATGGATGAATAAAAATATTAAGCCAAAGCAAATGTTTGTACTGTTCTTTTGCCTTCTAATGTTATTTGGTATTGCATATTTATAGCTCAGTTGTAATTGGGCCAGATACTTAATTTTGAAGTTGATTTTTTGTCATCCATAGGCAATTTGATGTAATTACTTTTTTGTTATTTTTGAAATGTCCTTCTTTTCTTCCTTTCCTTTTTTTGTTTTGTTTTGTTTACAGCTTCAAAACCTGCTGTGTTACTGATGCCAGGAATTCTTACAGATTGTGGAATATGGATAACTAATGAACCCAATAGCAGCTTAGGTTTTATACTGGCAGATGCTGGCTTTGACGTTTGGTTGGCAAATAACCGAGGAAGCAGATGGTGTAAAAGACACCAGCACTTTTCACATAAAGAAGAAGAATTCTGGAATTTCAGGTAAGTTAAAACATTTGGTGCTGGGGGGGAGTGATAAAATCTCACTTAATACGGGCATGAAGTGTGATAGAAGTTCAAAAGATGGATCATACCATGTCTGTGACTTGAGAGGAAAACCCAATATCTTGAACTATGTTATGAGTCTGATTGGACAAAAGCATCCATGTTCATCAGCTGTCAAGGGCGTCCACAGGAGAGATTTAAAAAAAATCAAGATGGTAGCTATGATTGTGCAATCAAAGTCCTATCTCCTTTTTAACATGTCACAATGCATACACAAAACGGGCAGGGCTTTGATTGTCATCAACACCAGACACGGCCACTATAGTGATTCTCTTGAAAACCATCCCTCCATACATTTTCTTCCCCCAACTAGATAGGTGATTGTTTTCTTTTACATTTCTATTAGATTACAATTTTCAAAGTCTTCCCATCCTATAGTTCTATGACAAATAAGCAATTATAAACACAATCAATGCAAAAATAATCTGGAAAGAGAGATAGTTTGAGTAGCTTACCACATATTGCTATAATGATATAAGTTTCATCATCCAGTTCTTTGTTTTGTATTATAATAGATTTAGTCAGCCATATAATTCTTTTATATTTTTTATTCCTTTTATATTTTTTATATATACCTTTTAGGTTTTTTTAAAATGAACTTTATATATTTTATGTTTCTTAGATTAAAATTATCAATTGTTTGTATGTCACCCTTCTAATATTTGGCTATGACTGTAACAAAGATTTGATTGATTGATTGACTTTATTTTATTTCAGTTTTCATGAAATGGCAATGGAAGATCTGCCATCTATTATATATTTTATCCTAGCTAAAACTGGACAGAAACAACTTTATTATGTTGGCTATTCCCAAGGATCCACTATAGGTAAGTTCTTGGATTTTTGCAGGGGTGAAAAGGGAAGCAGGAGGATGGAAGGGCAAGTGACATGATAAGCATCTTAGTGTCATCAGGCAAATGATGCAACGAGATCATGATGCAGGTGACAACATTGTGGCTTGGGACCAGGACATAGTATCTGAGCTCATTGTACTGTGGTAATCGCTGATGGGATGCAAACTGGCCAGAGTTATAGATTTCTAAGCATATCTATAATTATATTTGTTAAGTCCTTCGTTCGCATGCGAATGATGAAGACACATGGTGATGATGAACAAACACTTTATTCTCCTACAACAACCAAGCAAAAACACAAAGACACACAGGCCTTTTATATGGCCAGAAGCCCGGACAGTGTCAACCAATAGGAACAGAGCATTTTCGCGCCTTGAGCATGCGCACAAGGCTGGCGCCATTCTGTCTGGTCCTGGGCAGCTTTTGGAATGCCCGGGACCAATGCAACGTCCCGAGCCTGCTTTTGCAGGCTCAGGACACAACACTCCCCCCCCCAGATGGAACATACTTCGCATACACACAGGTACATCATGCACTGGGAAGAGTGGCATACAGTTGCATTATTCAAATGCAAAGAGTGTGGAACACTCGAGTCTGCACTCAGGCAAACCCCTTCAATATTTATTAATACAAATAAATGTATCTGAAATCAAATAATGCAAAATAATACATCCCTAATTACTCCCTCCATTCAGGGGCGTCATAAGAAGGTCCCTCATGATTTGACAGCAACCTCACAAAGTCTCTTAGATGTTTGGGTGGGCACTTGGCTCCCTGCGACCTTCTAAGGCCCGAAGAGATTGCCTGGCCCATCTGCTCACCTACCAGGCTAGGCAGGCCAGGACGTTGCTGCCCTAAATATCCAGGTGACCCTGGTGAGGGTGCCTGGCCTACCTGCTTGCCTACTAGGCTAGGCAGGCCAGGACTTTGCTGCCCCAAATACCTGGTTGACCCGGCCAGCTGCAGACTGGTGGACCCTCTGAGTCCAAGCTGGCATATCTTGGAGGGGTGGAAGTCCCCGAGTCCACAATGGACCCCTCTTGGGAACACTGTCCCTCCAGCCCAAGGTCAGCAGATGGAGAGGGCTGGGTAATGGAAGTGCCCCAGTATTCTGTGGCCCCCAAGCACGTGCCAGAGGTGCCAGAGTCAAGAGCCACCTCCATGGCAACCCCCTTTGCTGGAGACCTCCTTTGGGAGCAATTGCTGAATTACACAAGAGCCCTTGGTGGAATTCCATTTCTCTTGCTGTTTGTGATTTATGTGGATACCCCCGGTCAGTCTCCCTGTCTGGAGCACTATCTGACATATGTGAATACTGTGGATACCACAGGTGTGACTCCCTATCTGGAGTAATTATGGATGTGTGGGAAGACCCCCTATCCAGTGAATTCCTGTTTGGAGCACTTGCAGAACCTTGGGATAACTCCCCAACAGCCTCATCAGCATCTAATGAGGGCCTGTTAAGCCTGGGAAACTGTGACCCAGAATGCATATTATGGTCCTCCTCCACCCCCAGAGCAGAGCCAGGAGCGGAAGAATGGCAGTCCAGTTTCCAATGCAGTTGGTCTATGTGTCTGCAAAGAACGCAGCCATCACCCAAGGCAACTTCATATGACAATGGCCCAGAGAACTTGCAGACCACAGCTGTGACCCAGAGATGTCCAGGCCCATAGTTTCTTGCCCAAACTGGATCACCCACTTGGAGTCTCCTAGGTGCCCGGGGTTGTGACACCTGTGAAGCCACCCAGTCAGGGTGCATCCTGTCCAGTTTAGTAATGAGGCGGCGACCCCAGCGGAGTTCAGCAGGGCTCTTCCCTGTGGCTGTGCATGGTGTGGTGCAGTGTGCAAGAAGGAAATCTGCTAACCTGTGATGCCAGTTACCATAAGTCAGTTTCTTGAGAGCATCTTTGGTGGTGCGCACCATTCTCTCAGCCAATCCATTGGAGGATGGATGGAAGGGAGCCGACATTGCATGCCGGATCAGGTTGGCTTGAAGGAAAGCCTGGAACTCAGAAGAGGTAAATTGAGGGCCATTATCTGAAACCAGAACATCTGAAAGACCACGTGATGCAAAAATTCTTCTCAACACCTGGATGGTCCTGGAAGTAGTAGTGGAGAAAACAGGAGCAACCTCTACCCACTTGGAATGGCTGTCAACAACAACCAGGAAGAATTGCCCCTAAAAGGGCCTAGCATAATCTATATGCATCCTAGACCATGGGGTTTGAGTTTCCTCCTACCTATGTACTGGGGCCTGAGGCATTTCAGGCCATGACTTTTGGCACAATTTGCACCCGTGCACCTGGGCCTCAATGGCTTTATCGAGCCCAAGCCACCAAAGATGGCTGCGCGCAAGCACTTTCATCCTGACTATACCAGGATGTCCCTCATGCAGAGAAATCAATATTCTAGACCTCAATGAGGCTGGGATCACTATCCTGCTACCCTATAACAGGCAACCCTTGAAAGTGAAAAACTCATGCTTCTTGTGCCAGAAGCTTTGGAACTCAGTATCTGGGCACTTGTCAGGCCATCCTGACAACACCCATGTCAGCACGCGTGTAAGCGTGTGATCAGTGGCAGTTTCTGCAGCCACGTCCCTAGCATTGAGGGGAAACTCAGGCAACTCCTGAATGGAAAGAATATTAATGGCTGGAGTAGGATCTGGCTCTAATTGGTTCAGACGTAATCTGCTCAGGCCATCTGCATAACCCATTTCTTTTCCAGGTTTGTGAACTAAAGTGTAGTCATATGCTGACAGGAAAATGGACCATCTCAGCATACGAGGAGAAATGATATGTGGGGTCTGTTTGTTAGTGGTAAACAACCCAGCAGAGGCTTATGGTCAGTATAGACCGTGAAATGGCAGCCATATAAGAAATCATGAAATTTCTTAATGCCAGCCATTATGGCCAAGGCTTCTCTATCAATTTGAGTGTAATTTCGCTCTGCAGAGGAGAGAGTCCTTGAATAATAGGCCACAGGGACCTGTGTCCCATCAGCCTTCAGATGGCTCAGTACAGCTCCCACCCCATAAAGAGATGTATCGCATGCGATGCAAACAGGCAGTTGCTCATTGAAATGCGCTAAAACAGCATTAGAAGTGAGCAAGGCCTTAACCTCATTGAAACTCTTGTCATGGATTTTAGTCCACTGCCAAGGAGCCTGCTTGTCTAAGAGCCTGTGTGATGGCTCTGCCACTACAGCTTTATGTGAGAGAAATGCATGGTAAAAATTTAATAGCCCCAAGAAGGCTTGCAGCTCACTTTTAGACTTAGGGCTTGGGACCTGCTGGATAGCTTGCAATTTAGTTTCATCAGGGTGAATGCCTTGGGCATCAATCCTGAATCATAAGAAGTCAGTAGAAGTGACTCCTGTCTTACATTTATCCTTCTTTAGTTTAAGGCTTGCTTTTCAAAAACGAAGCAAGACAGCTCTTAATCTTTCTGCTAAATTTTGAGATGACTCCCCAGCAATGAGGACGTCATCGAAGTAGGGACAGACCCCAGGAATATCTCAAAATGTGCTCTCCATGACACTTTGGAATATGCCAGAGGCTACATTTACCCCAAATTGCAGTCTCTTGACCCTGTGAGTTACAATAGTCTGGGTCTCTGCAGCTGCCTCATCAACAGATAGCTATTGATAGGCCTGTGCCAGATCAAGCTTCGCAAAAATGTGCCCCCCCTTGAGGGAGGCCAGAATGTGACTTACCACAGGCACTGGATAAGCGTGCTGTTGCAGCGCCTTATTCAGTGTGCACTTATAGTCTGCACATATACGTATTTCCCCATTAGCCTTTAGAGGCGTTACTATGGGGGTTTCCCATGGACTAGAATCCACAGGTTCTAGAATGCCCTGCTGGAGCAATTTGTGCAGCTCAGCATCAATCTTACCTTTAAGCGCAAAAGGTACCCTCCTAGGCTTAACCCTGATGGGTGTGATGGTTGGGTCTAACCGTAGCGAAATGGGAGGCCCCTTGTAGGATCCTAGCTCTGAACTAAACACATCTGCAAACTCCTTGCAAACCTCTGCAAGGCCCAGCGTTTGCAAGCTGTGTAGTCCAGTTACCTGGATTCCCAGAGCCTCAAACCAATCGAGTCCAATAAGACTCGTACATTCACCCCCAACAACCACCACATCTAGGGAACCTTCAAAATCCTTATACTGTACCCTAAGGGTGGCCTCCCCCTTAACACACACCATAGATTTTTGAAAATTAGTGAGTATTAGATTCGATGGCCTGAGTTTAACTCAAAGGCCACTACTGCTGCAAATCCTTTTAAAGGTATTAATTGAAATAATGGAAAGAGTGGACCCTGTGTCCAACTCCATCAGTAAGGGAACCCCTTACAACCTTATGTTAATGGAAAGTTTCTTCTTAAGAGGCTTGTGTGTCCCTGTTCTTAGAATGCTCCTGCGTGATGTGCAGAAACCCACCCTGTTTTGGCTGGGGACCCTGGTACCTTTCTGAAGCAATTCTTCCCGAGGTTGGACCTTCTGGCGACCCAAACAGACGGATGCAATGTGGCCCTGCCTGCCACACGCCCTGCAAATGGCGGAGCGAAACCTGCAGTCAGCTTGTGGCGTCCTCCGCACCCAAAGCATTGTAGAGATGCTGGGGCCTTGACAGGATGTCCCTTCTGCCTCCTCTCAGCTGGCTGGTGAAGTCTGTCGACCTCCTCTTCAGGATCCTCTTCTGATCCTTCTCGAGCATCCTCTTGATGGACGGTAGCTGTGTCTGGAGGATTCCTGGCAAGGCTCAAGGCCTTCACAGCTCCGCCTGCTGCTTCCTCAGCTGCCACCTCTCACAACGCCTCTTGGCAGGAGACATCTTCTTTTGCAAAAATCTTTTCTTGTAAGTCTCTGCTCCTTAAGCCACAGACAAAGCAATCTCGCAGCCTCTCTTCTAAATCCTTGAACTCACAAAGTCTGGCTGCTTGCCTTAAGGCTGCAAAAAAGTCTGCAGCAGA